TATATATATATATATTGATAATCATCTATACACTGCCAGTGTAAAAAGTTTTTTACATTGACAACTAATCATATATTTTAAATTTTATTTTATTTTTATTTGATTAAATAAATAAATGACATATTGACATGATATTATTAAAAGATGTGATTGGTTACCAGTGTAAAAAAAAATAAAATATCATATAATTTTAAAATTTTAAAATTTTACAGACCTAATTTATTCATTAAAAATTTTAATTAAACAGTTAAATTATTAAAATTTAATATAAAAATATAAGTTATTAAAAAATAAATTTATTCTAAGTGTGTGTAAGTAAATTATACACGCATAGTCGCGTACAATATAGCAACAACAAGCAACAAGAAATTGGCTACTGTTCATGAGTGACATTGAATTGAGACCCTTTTATAAAGGTCTTTTGGTTTTTGTAAACAGAAAAAACGTGGGTGGGTCATTAAAAATTAGTTGGATTCAAATGATAAATCCATTTATCATTTAAAAAAATAAAATTAAAAGTTGAAAAAAAAAAAAAAGACAAATCAGGGTTATATATATTTATTCTCACATGAGTAATTGCAGTTGCACTTAAGAAAAAAATTAGAAATACATACTACATGCAAGCAGATGATTGGAAAGATTTAATCATTAAAAATTAATCAAGTTACATATGGTAAAAAATTTAAAGTCTATTAACTAATTAATGCTAACATTAAAAGCTTTAAAAAAATTATAAACAAATTACACACTTAAAAGTAGATTACATATGTTAAATATTAATTAAAAAATAAAACATAAAAATATGCTCGATTAGATTTTAATATTTTTAATTTTTCAATTTAAAATGTTTGAAAAAAAAAATATAAGAGTAATTTTTTTATCAGTAAAAAAATAAGAATAATTTGCGAATCAATTTTTAAACTTTCGAAACAAATAGACATTTTTTTTTCTTCGAAAAATAGTGACACGAGAGAAAGTGTAACCTCAAATCTGAACCTAAACCTAGTTCCTCAAAATTGAGAACAGAGGTTGAAGTGGAGATCATATTTACAGTCATGAGTTTGATGAATCCAAGAACAGAGAAACTGGTGAGAAGGTTAACCATTGTCACCACTGTTGCTGCTTCCTATTTTCTCCTTACCGCTGACTATGGCCCTCAACCCAATGCCCTCGACCCTGTAAGTCTTCTTTTTCTCTCAAAGCTACCCAACATAGATATCCAATTCTATTTCCAACCTTTGATTATGGGTAATTTTGTGGTGTTGATGCCTGTTTGTTGATTGTTAAATGGAACTAAATTTATATTTAAATGGTGAATGCTGTAGGTAACATTATAAAAGGGCTTGTGAGGATGTCCATCAATCACTATGTAGCTTCTTGGTTATTTGTGTTATTGACTCACATATGTGTAGGTGTTTTCCCCTTCAAAACTATTCACACCATCAAATTTTTCATCTTTGCAACCACATATATGTGAAGTAGGAACCAGGTTGTAATTAAACGGTTCAAAATTCTAATGGAAAGAGAATGGAGGAAATTACTTTTTTTTTTCTCGTTGTTGTTGGTTTTGCTGCTGTTAAGAAGGTGTAAAACTTGGCGTGGGGAAGGGGATGGTATTGTAGGCTAAAATGCTGGCAAAGCAGCTTGGGTTGGATTTCAACTTGGGAAGTGGGAACAAACAGCCCTCAAAAAGACTTGGTGGCCATTTTTGTTATTACTCTTGGGCAATTTTGGACCCATAGGTAGTATTTGGTAGATAACGTATGAGTTTTCTTCTATGGTGTATTTCAAGAATAGGATAGAATAGAAGTTAGAACTGCTTGTGGAGTTAAAGTAGTACATTTTGGTTTCACCAGTTGATCCGTGCAACAAAATCTACCTTAATATGATGAGAAGCTGAGAACAGTAAAAAGAAAACACAAAACTGATACCAGACATTTTGCGTCATCTAGAAATTGCATTATGAAATAAAAATATGGCATGGGACTTGATCCGCAAACCGCAATTGCATTGACTTTATTGTATTAATTGGAATACTCAGTTCTTCTGTCTCAGATCAAGTTGATAGGTAGTAGATAAATGACAATGGTCAGAAATCAATATCCTAATTTATGTTTAATTTTCTTTTTATTGTTCTGTTCATGAGGGTTTTACGCCTTGGTACCGACTCTATTGTTTTTTTCATGTAAAATGTTGATGAAACAAAAGATTTATAAGGTTTTTATCATTTGCTATATGGCTACATTTACGTTAGTTTGTCTTGTTAATTTGAAAGTTAGATCTAGAGAAATGACCCAAATAAGAGTTTCCTTGGTGGATTAGAACCTGTGGCCATGCAGAAGCAATTGCAGATGAATAGGTGTCCTTCACAATTAGAAAGGTTCTAGATAGAATCTCTTCCCCAGTAGTTATCAGGATGCTAATACCTTGTAAGGTAACATTAAATAAACTTTAACCTTGATGAACAGCTTAGAGGTTACAAACTTTGCAGCTCCTGCTTCACTTGCAGGACTCTGAGAATAATTGGCCAGATGAATCCAACCAGCGATCAATTTAACTTTGTTTCAGCCACTGCTGCTATCTAAAGCTTCCCTCGACTGCCACAAATAGTTTCTTGTTTTTCTTTTATATTTTTGTTCAGATGGTTTAACTTCAATGTAAATTTTTTTAAATGGCAGATGTTGTAATTGAATTCTATGGGAAATTTTTTTTTTTCTTGCTTCTGACGTTATATTTTCTTAATGGAAGATTAAGAAGCAAATACTTTCAGCAGAGAGCACCGTGAAAGAATATGTTTTTGGATCAAAGAAAGAATCTCAGGAAAACCAGACGGGGAAATTGGACAGCAACAAGGATCGCCCTTAAATGTATGGTAGTCTTGTATAGGAACATCATGCTGAGTAAAGGTTTTCTTTTAGCCGTTTGAAAATGGAATGGTTCAATGACTAGAGGCCGAAAACGAATGAACGGTAGATTAACTTGTCAGCATCAATGCCGTTAATAAGACCATAACATCATAGTCATGTTTTGGGCTGTTGCTCCCTTCCCCCACCCTTTATCTTATTATGTATCTGCATCTGTATTGTTTTTCTTTCCTTTGTGGTTTTCTTTTATGTGGATTTGAGTTAAAAAATTGTAATTGAGAAGGGTTTTGCACATTAAATAAGCAGTTGTGTCAGTCAAATCCCACCTTCTAAAAGCTGTTATTCTTTTTTGGTTTTTGTCTAATAATGATTCATTGAGTGTGCAACCACCGGGTATGCAAAACATAGAGCAGCAAATAAGTCGAGCTAAAAAAATGGTTATGCGACTGTTGTATAGATCACATTTACTAAAATAGAACACTAGTGTTATTGGAGATTAAAAATGTCAGACGTCTTCCATTTCAAATTCATGTCATGCTGCAAGTCTCAACGAGATTTTATTTTAGAGTCACAAATTAAATCTCCAAGAGTCATAATCTAACAATCCACAAAAAGACATAGTAAAGTATCAATAATTTCATCCCTTTTATAGGTGCCAATGTTGAAAAGGTATCCATTAATTACTTAAACGATGAAGACTAGTTTGAACAAGTTCTACTTTCTTCCACGACTCTGCTTTTTAATTGAAGCAGAGTTATGCATGCATATTACAAAAAAAATGGTTTTTTCACATATCTTGTTAATTGAAGTCATGAAGGGAGAGAAATAGAGAAGCATGTAGAGTAGACGTAAAACTAGAGACATGAAAAACTCAAGACTGATACTATTATCATAGTTCACAACATTTTGGTGACATGATGCATGGCAATAGGAAATGAACACTATTTGGTGTCCTAAACCCAATGATTTGCACCCGACAAAAAGCAAATCTTGCTAGGCACTCCAACACTAAGTACACAGCTGCGAACACCAGCTTTTAACTCTTCACATATTTTAACCTTTTATATTGAAAAAAAATTGCTTAAGTTTGGATTCATAATCAATCAAATCATAGAACTAAATGAACATCCTAACCGACCCAACAAAAAGGGGGAGGGGGTGTTACAAACACTCATCCAATCCTTGTTTCTTGATGAAATCCTCAAACACATGCAACATTTTGGGAGGGTGGAACTATTGGTATCCAAGATGAATTTTATAATCAATGGGGGTAGTCATCAGGCATAACAGAATCAGCAAGAACTTGTCTCTGTACAACGTTTTCATTTTTGCTTGGTAGTTGCATTCCTCTTGGATTCCAGTGTTGTTCCATCTTTAAGTGCTGCTTGGGCTTCATTCTCCATGCCAAGTCCTGTGAGGGCAACAGATTGAAGATAAGATGCTATGTGCCATACCGGAGATACAACTTGTGCCTGCATCGCATCGTTCAGTGCTTCCTGAGGCATGTCACTGATGAGATAACACAAACTGCGTCGTGCATAGACTGTTGGAGAAACCATTGTTCCAGTATCAATAAACTGCACATAAAACAATAAACTCTTAATGACTAAAATAGCATTAGAAGCCAAATCAAACAGCAAATAGAGCTGCTAAATAGGAGGGATCAAGAGGTGTTGCTACAAAAGTGATTCATTCATAGACTTGAATCAGATCAAATCCATAGTGTAAAATACTTCATTCTTGACCACTACTCTTATTAACAACAAGAGACATTGATGTGCAATTGTGCATCTGTACTAAGAAACCTAAAGCATCATTCATATTGTTACGAAAATCTCACATCAACTAGATCTTAAGGATCTAGTCACAATCAGATTCAGTTTTATTTTAAATTTCAATATTAACCAGAAATCTATTTTGTGACATGCAATTTCATTTAATTAATCAGCAGGTTTTAAAATAAAATAATAAAAAAAGGTAAACCAAATTTAGATTAGTTCAACTTATTAGCATAAGAATATGTTTGGATAAATTTCTCCAAAAACACTTATTAAGTTAAAACTAGCTTATAAATAAGTTAAAACAAAGTTTTTAGAGAGAAACTAATACGAGAGCATTCCTACAAATTAATTTATAGAGAAAATTATTTCATCTTTTTTTTTTCTCATCTAGAAATGCTTCCAGAGAAGTTTATCCAAAAAGATTTTAAGTAATCTACCTGAGAGTAGTTCTCAATTGCTAGTCTAAAATCTTTCTGCCGGAAAGCAGCATCCCCCTTTTTCTTGCAATTTAATGTTTCCTGCATTTGATCAGTCCACATCTGAAATGATAACTGCAATATAAGTTTAAGAGAATACACAAGTTAGCATCTTTTCAAGAATACATATTTATATATTATTACTTCATGGTTTGTGTGAAAAGATAACCCAAGAAGATATACAATAAATTAATAAATTATCTAGATTTTGCAGGAAAAATTAAAAGGTGTGGTAATTCAATAAAATATAATTTAGATAGAGAACCTCATTTGCCACTCCTTCATCATCTTTATAGCCAATATTTTCCAGAACTTCATGTATGGCAGTCAAGTCCTTTCTTGAGCATGCTTCACCAAGAGGAGATAATGAAGCAAAAGTAGTACTATGTTGGATGCCCATCAAGACATGTGAAGGAACCTAGAATGAAATGAGAATCAACACTCTTGGTAAGAAAAAATAATTACAACTTCTTCCAAAAATGATTAATGACACTATTGTCATCAAGTACCTCATGCATGTGTGTGAAGATATAATAGTCTTTATACAGATGATACACAAATATCCATAATAGAAAGAACATGCCTTAACCCTAAAATGGAGCTTAAATAAATGTTTGTTTATTCATTTGAGATATTGAACACACGTTACAAGAGAATAAATGTGAAGAAAAAAAAATAGTTTTGCCCACACATCCATTTGAGCCTTTGAGGTCACTTAAAACAAATAAACAACAGGGGTATTTATACTTCAGTTTTGATCATAAAAAAACATCTTATCTAATCATGAAATTAAATTTCATTTCGATTTAAATTGGCATAGATATGATATCAAATCCAAACCAATTAAAACTGGCATTGGATTCAACTATATCTGTTTCTAAACATGCAGTTAATATTAAATAAATATAAAAAAATAGTAATTATAATTATAATGAAAATATTAATTTAAAATAACAACTATCACATCTAAATCATAAATATTAGTAAAAAAAAATTAAAAATAAATATTAAAAAGTGATCTACATCTTAATAAGATGTAATTGATATATTGGAATTATAATGAAAATAAATTAGTATCATGATTTCATAAATTTCTACTTATACAAGTATGAGTAGCACAGTTATTTAAAAAAAAAAAATATGTATATGTACATAAGTTTGGTTTGGATCGGACAGTTTTCAAAATTAGATCTGAAATTCACTCCAATCCAAGAAAAATTTTCAATTTTATTTTTTCAGTTTGTTCAATTTGGCTTTGGCAGTTTGCATTGAATTGGACCAATTTATTAACATCCCTACAAACAAATAGCAAGTGATGCCCCGCTATTACATAATAATAGTAAACAAGATCTCAAACATGATACGCATTGGTTACTAATAGTAAGTGATGCCCCACTATTACATAATAACAGTAAACCAACCTCTGTTTCCTTCTGAAGAGGAGCCAAAGCAGCTACCAATGATTTTGGATTAGGCCGTTCTCTAGGTTCATACTGTAAACATCGAGATGCCAAGCGTACCAACTCAGTTCCATCATCATCTGAAAATTGTCCTTCCAAACAAGAATCTGTCAGCATCTGAAGATTTCTTCCACGAATCACATCAAGGGCCTGCACCAAATTTTCTACTGATTACATATGCAAGTTTACACATAATATAGCAATATATAATTAGCTGCAAAGGGTTTGTTATAGATGGAGGACATGGGAGGGTAAGTTTTGAGTAGAATTCATTCTTATTAGGGAAATTTCAAATGAGGGAAGAGAAATTGGGGATGATCTTCATTTAATTTTATAAACATTTTAAAGTTTCCCAATTTAGACTAGTTTCAAGGATTTTAACGTCCAATCAAAGAAGAAACTTGTTATGTTTCCATGTGGTTTTGATTCCCTTTCATTTGCTTTTGATTCCTTTCCTACCTTCCATCAACCTAACAACTTAAACTTATGAAATTCAGGAATTGTTAGGCATTGACACCAAACCAATTAGATTTACTTAGAACTTTTAGAACCCAAACTAAATTCATAAACCATCCTGTCACGTTGACCGAGTTAACCTATGCCTATATTCTTTACCCATTGATAAGAATGACTTACGTGACTTGGGGGGATATGCTTCCCACTGAGAAGGTCAAGCAAAAGTGTGCCAAAGCTATATATTACACTTTCTGGTGTTACTCTGCCTACAAAACAAAGAGGAGATATAAGAAATCATGTATCACCCATCTCTAATAAAACATAAGTGACTATAAATGTTTAAATGCAATACAGATTTTCAATTAAATATCACAGTGCTAAACATAAGCAAAAAGGACAAAACTAACAAAAAGAAATCCATTATATGGCATACCAGTTCTGAGATACTCTGGAGGGGTAAATGCCAAATTTGTGCTATAACTTTTCCCATCCCTGCTATTTTTCATAAGACCAAAACTCGAAAGCCTAGGATTACCATCCTGCAAAATTCTAACACAATTTTTATTAATCTAATTATTTGGATGTACATAAAAAGGGGATACAAAAAAACTTGCCTCATCAAATAGAACTCTATATGCATTAAGGTCATGATAAAGAGCACGCCCTTTGCTTGTGCAGTACTCTAGAGCTTGTGCAAGATGTAGAACAACTCTTAGTCGCATTGCCCATTTCATAGGTTGTGTTTCCCCTGATTTAGACACACGACTACATTATTTCACACCATACAAACTCAGCTGTCTGTCATATCGAAGCATCACTCCAACAACATGGTCATAACAATATAGCAAAGAAAACAGGACATTAGAAGAGACAGGGAACAAATCTCCGGAAATCTACCTTGTGAACATAACTCGGTAAAAGGTCTATCTTATAATGTTTTGTTCAAAGTTTGAAGGACCTGGAATCTATGTTTGAGAAACAATGTATAGATTGATTCCAGGGTTCAAAATTAGTAATAAAAATGTTGCTTCTACCATCCAAAATCAATTTCCACACTTCCCAATACAGCATATTTACATAGAAGTCCTTATAGAAATTGGATGCTTAGCTTATAGGAGCACTTCCTGGTAATTTGACACTATTAGCAAAATTAAAGTATATGGATCTATGAAAGCAGTTTCTAAAGAGAAGGGGGGAAAATGAAATTACCAAATAAAAGTTAGTCATGTGATGATAGTCATAACATACTATACTAGCACCCTTTCTGATGTCTTGAGATTGTCCAACTCAAATAATAATCAACAAACATATAGAGAAAAATGGGGTTTTTTATGTTAGAGGGGTAACTTTTTTCAAAAATTCCCAAAATGAGTAGTTTTTAAAAAAAATTCGGAAATGGGTAAGTCGTGTTTGTGAACATGACTTCTATTTAAAAGTTGTGTTTCACAAACCAAACACAACTTCTATTTAAAAGTTGTGTTTCACAAACAAGACTTTTTTTTTTCTTTTTTTTTTTTTTAACAAGTTAGAAGTCGTATTTATAAACACGACTTTCATTATTTTAATATTATAAAAATGGCAAAGTCATGGTTGAGGCCACAACTTACCTTGTTTTAGTTTTTCTTTTTTTCTATTTTATATTAAAATAGTATTTTTTTTGCATAAAATTAAAATAAAAAAAGGAAATTGTGGTTTTAAAACATCACTTTAGTTTCTTATAAAAAAAATAAAATAAAAACAAAATTCCGTGTTTGTGAAATAGAACTTTCATTTTAACAGTTGTGTTTCACAAACACAACTTACCCTATATCCGGAATCTTTTAAAAGCTTACCCATTTTGGGAATTTTTGAAAAAAATTACCCCAAAATGGTAAAAAATCCAAAAAAAATGGACAATGTCATGAAACTTCCAAAAGGAAAAGGTTAGAAATTTGGTGGCTTAGGTACTGATCAAGTATGTTGCACCAGTAAAGCACACACAGCAAAGCAAAAAGCAACAAAATCGTAAACCACAAATTTAGGACATGGTAATTAGATGTTCAATACTAAAAGGATAATAAAAAATGAATGAAAGGAGCTCTTACAATGGAAAAGGTGCTTTGCAAGTGTTTCATTGGGCATATATTCTGCAACAAGTAACCTCTCATCTCCTTCACAACAACAACCAAGCAAATTTGCCAATCTTTGGTTACGAAGCTGACCAACTGATCTTGCTTCCTCCTGCAGTTATGGAAGAAAATTCTTTTGATTAATTGAAAGTGAAAAGAAAAGGTGAAAGGAAGGTGTACCAGAACAACCTAATGCATCATTAGCTTCACAAAGACAATAGAACCTAAACATTTTAGATTAGTATCATTGGCCAATTGAAAAAAAGTATATGTAAATACAATGTTAACCAATAAATACACTTGCATGTTACCAACAATACAAATTTACCAGACAACATGGGAAGAATATATAGGATAGCCAATTACCAGTTGAAAAGTTGATTACAGTAGAAAAGGAACCCGAGAAAACTTATCATGATTCATTTATCACAGATGGTTTAGTGGCACTAGTCAAGATCTATTCCATGTGTTTGAGTAATGCAAAGTACATAAATCACGCAATTGTGCAGTGCAAGATCATCAACAAAAGAGTTATGGTCAAGGTTGAAGAAAGCATGGGGGTGGAGGGCATTTACCAAAAACTGCCGAGCATCAGGCCAAGCATTCCTATTAAACCGCTTAACAGCAATCCTCATTTGATTCTCCAGCTTTCCTTTATAAACAACATTAGGAGCCTTCTCTCCATGTTCAGATACAATGTTCTCAACGGCAAAACCAGATGTTGCATTCTTAAGTTGCTCAAGCGTAAATTCACGGAATGTAGGCCAGTTACTGACCTCACTACTATCCTCAATTTCTGGAACAAATGTTAAAATAAACATCTATCATATTCCTTATAATTACCTATAACTATATAGGACATTAGAGTATGACTTTACCCACCAGCATCTGGAGTTTCAATAATGGATGCCTTAACTTGTGAATCCACACAACATGGTATGAGTCTGGAGCACTGAATACCCATTTTGGTAAGCTGAAAGCAAACTTGAAGTAATGAAAACCTCTTCCACTTTCAATAATGTGCCTTTTCTGAAAATATTTGAAAATGATAACCAGACCACTGAGATCCACCTGAACTTTGTCAACCCTATGCACTGTCACAATACACCTTCATATTTGGCTCTGATGACTGGTTACCAAAGATTATGTATCTGTAAAATGTTGGGACCAGAATTGTCAGTGAATCACTCCAAAAGCTTTGTTCAAGTGAAGGTTAAAGAGTAAAGCAATAAAAATCATTTTGATCTTAGCCCAAATTATGTGTCAACATGGTCTTCAATTATTACACACAACCAAACAATTGAAACAGAATAATCCGTAGATTCTGTACTTGATTTTCAGATGCTACCAGAGCCAGGAACCTTTTGGAAGGAATAAGTAGCTGAGAAAAATTAACAATCAATAAAAGCACAACAAACATAAAAGTACTTCTTCATTTAAGCATAAGGTGGAATATAGAACCTTTATGTTGGCAACTTCATGTTCTCATAACCACAACTAATGACAGCAACAACCCCAATTAAGATGCTCTTTAAATATGACAGTCTAACTACTACCATCTAAGCATTAAAAGCTAAAGAACATCAGACATGAAGATGTAACTGCATTCCTCCAAATGTGTAAAACTAAAACACAAACACTCACATGCTGAACATTTAGCTTCATATATGATAGCCTACCTACTAATATCGTATTCTTAACATCCACCTTTTTTTTTTTGTTTTTTGTTTCGGAGTCAACTCAAGTTACACTCAAGTCTTCAAAACGAAAATGCCGAGCAAAAAGCATCAACTTTTCCAACCTACTCAAAAGGCTACTTCACCTTTAAACTTGTTCTAACCTTCTCCAATTGCTGAGGAAAAAGTTGAACCACCTTGAGCTGAAAAAATGTCTCTCTTTTCTTTTCTTTCTCGATCAAATCAACAGCTTTTACAAGATCCACATTTTCGCACCAAAGACCCTCGTTTTGCAATCTGCAAAGTTCGAGTCTTTCCCTCGATCCAACCAAACCCCACTAATCTTTTCTCCTCATGAAATCAGGATTTTACAAAATCACCCCCTCAACAGATCAAGTAAATAAATATTCAACCCCAAATAAAAAATTCAGATTTTTATGAACACAATCAACTGAGGAGGAGAGAAAAACAGGTGTTGGGTGAGAAACTCAAAGCTGAACTGAAGATCTGTGTGAGAAGCAGAAGAATAAGAAGATGGTGATGAATGATAGAGCTAAGGCTTTGGATTTCTGACATTTTCTTTTTTAGCCTTTTCGGTTTTAATAAATAATAAATATAAACAAATCAATTATTACCGACATGTCATGAGTGTATGTCATGAGTATATATTCAAAGATCAGGAATCTGCATGTTATTTAAACAATTTTTTATTGAGAATTTGTTGGCACAACACATTTGCTTGTGGGTTTTATTTTAATTTATTATTTTCAATGTTTCGACTATAAATACAGCCACACATATAATAACCCTATAATGGTTAGTTAACTTTAACTGTGATTCCAACTAGATTTTACGTGCAATATATTAATAAATGAGATTAGAATCCTTCAAAAAAAAGAATAAAACTACATGTGATTTCCCTTCAAAAAAAAAAACCGCATGTGATTTTTTAGATATCAGTTAGAATTAGAATTTTATTTCAATAATCTTCTTGATTATGGTTTCCATCAAATATATTAACTTAAATACTGAAATGAAACTATGAAACAGTGCTAAAAATAGTTAAGAAATAAAATGTATCAAATCCATTGAACTAGAACTAATTAATTTCCTTTTTTATCTATAGAATATTGAAATCATGAATTAATTTGGGTCACTACTTTGAAAAAGACTGAATTATTACCCAATCTTAAAATTACAAGAAACACATACCTGGTCAAAGGCTTATATATATCCACCGCCAATTGTTTTGGAGGATTATCTGGTGTCAGTAGTGTGGCTAAGGCTTATTTGCTGGCATAGCAACCAATGAAGTTGTGCCTTTTACAATAACTATACCTTAGAAAAAGAGCATGGAAAAGCTGGCAAGCAATGAAGCAATGTACCAAATTGTTGAAGTAAATCGAGTTTAATGGGGAGAATTTTATTTGTAGTGTAGTTGGTAGAAATCCAAAAGAATTACTGTTGAAGTAAACACGGTCAACCAAAATATAAAATAATACTCTTCCAAAGTAAATAAGTTATGATATGTTTACTTTAAAGAGTATTCAAATTTTAATTTATTATTTTTTATAAGTAGAAATTATATATATGTACCATTAGTCACATAATGAGTTTCTAAAATTCTTATGTCTGAAGTTCAAAGGAATAATTAATTAATTATCAAAATAATAAGAAAAAGGTACAAAAGAAGCAAGTTGTTTGTGGTTACTTAAACTGTACCATAAAAGAAAATTAATGCTCTTTCATCCTGTTCCCAAGTTGACTGGGAAATAACTGAAACTGGTTGAAAAATTTGTCACATACATTGAGAGTTGTAGCTTATCAATGTACAGTAGTTATTAAAGGTATCCTTTTGCACATAATGATGTTTAATCTAGTGTAGAATTTTTGCTTGTATATGTCTTGCTTTAGGGAAAACATAAAATGATTGTGTTTAACAATTCCAGCAGGATTTCTCATGTTCAATTAACAGGGGGGCTGCTTATTGAACTCATTTCCAACTATGTTGTCATTGTGGTCTCGCATACCATGTACAGGGCTGCTATTTTTTTTTTCTTTTTCATTTTTATGGTATAAGAAGATAAAACACCACCTGATATATCGAGGATTAACGTTGATTAAACTTCTGAACCTGTCACACCTGACTTTTGATGTTGGTGAAGTATGTTATCATCGACACACAAAGTGGCAAGCTGAAACAAATGGCTTAATATATCCCTCTACATAGAATAGTTATATTTTAATGTATGGGGATAGCCATTTAAATTTTTTATTTTTGAAATACTATTTAGATATAAAATATTATTTTTATTAGGATATTATTTAAATTTTAAAATATTTTATTCATTTATTTTATAAATTTTCATCCTCTTGTAAAATTAGGATCTAAAGTTAACAATTATAAATTATTGAGATGAGAAGGATTATTTAAATTGTATAGAAAATCACCGTCTTATTAGATGAGAGAGAGTGTCAAAATAGAAAATTAAATATATTTATTGAACAAATTTTTTTGCTTTACTGAATTCAATTGCATTATAAAAGTTTAAATCAAAGTACATGAATTGTATTGTTCTGGTCTCCATCATGAAGGATTCTTTTTTTAAGAATTTTGACAATTGATTGATATATTTGACTGAATGAGGAATGAAATCTCAAATATAATTAAGAGTCATTAAAAATTGATGAATATGTTTTATCATTAATGATTGATTTGAAAAATTGAGAAAATTTTCAATTATGTGACACTAAGGTTGATAAATTTTTTGAAAAAAAATGCATTCCAAAAAAATCAATATCATATTTTATTATTTAAATTTCACAAAAAATTAAAAAAAAATTATTAGGACAAAAATAAACCAATAGGTTTCAAGCATGAAAATTAGAGGCCCAATAAAACAAGTTAGTGCACATAACCCCGCTACATTCACGTAACTTTTGTTTATCACTTTCTTTTGGAACTTGATTTGATGAGCCATTGAATTAACTTGTCTAATTGAATCATTTTTTGACCCTTCTAATTTTTATCCTTTATAAAGATAATTTAATTTTTATAGTTAATTTCATTTTTCAAATAGTCTATTCATTCTTTTATATATATATATATAAAAAAGTCTAGTTAAATTTTTATAAAAATACTTTAATTTTTATAATTTAGTTCAATTCACCATTAATTTAATTTCGTTAACACACCTAGCAATAATAGTATTGATAGTAATTATTAAAACAATGATAATAATGATTTTATAGTAATTATTTATAATTTAATTTTAATTTTAACTATTTATTTTCAATCAATTTGAGTTTCTTTAAATTTGTTATCCAATCTTATAAAAATAAAAATAAAAAAATAAAAACATTACTGTTTAAAAAGTAAAGTATAAAAGCGACATAATTCAATATGATTATTCTAATTTAATATATAAGGTGATTTTTTTATGAGAGATGTAAAATGCAATAAAAGACAGAAGACCTTGAAAGAAATTCAAAAAAATATTTTTATTAAAAATACTGTAAGAGATGACTCAAGATAAGAGATATGGATGAGAGAAGAATGCAATGTATTTTATCCTGGTTCAGCCACTTCACATGTGACCTACATTCAGTCCTCAATCATAACCTGATCAAGATTTATTCCACTATCTTAATGAAGAAGTTTTACAAGCATACCACACATGCATACACTCCTACATTCAAGATAGACACTTTCTTGCCCCCAAGAAAGAACTTCTTGTAGAAACCCACTACAAGAATTCCTTACCACTTGAGACACCTATACAAGATTTCTTTACACTTTACACAAAGAATTAAAGGAACGAATTCACCTGGAAGCTGAACAAATCAGACTGTGAATTCTTGACACATCTTAATCCTTCTCTTCCAAGAATGTAATGATGATGATGATTTCTCTCAAAACATTTCACAAGATATTTCTCTTCTTGGTTTCACAAAGAAAACACCCCAAGAAGGTCACAAGGACTTCACAAAATTAATTTTTCTCTCTTCTATATTCAGTTTATCTCACTTGTAAAGTTTCAAAGTGTGAAAACTATTTATAAAGTTTTCCAGACCCAAATAATCGATTATTTCTAAGGATAATCGATTATTTTGTTCTTCATAATTTCTGGAAACCACTCAAGAACAGAATAATTGATTATGTTGCAGGATAATCAATTATTTCTTAGATAATCGATTATTACAGCAAGGTTTCCTGAACCTCTTGTTGGAATAATAGATTATTCATAATGATAATCGATTATTTTGAGTATGTTTTCAAAAACTCAATTTCACACTTTTAGAAAACTTTCTACATCTTTCCAAGTCATTTAGATCATCATCATACTCTCTCTTAGTCAATTGAGATTAAGATTTACTCTAGAACAAAGCATACACATGCAAAATAACTTCAACAAGGCAACACAAAACATAAAAACACATAAGCTATCCCTATTACAGTTTATATTCTTTCATATCTTCCTTTCATGACTAGCTTGCCCTTTGTTCTTGGCTTGTATCCTTTGTTATCATCATATCCTTTGTAATCATCAAAACTTCTCAGATCTTCAGAGCTGAGCTTGATTCATCACCCATGAATCTCAACACCCCCATCTTCCTCTTCCTTTGTGCTATAGGTTTGGCCTCCCAAAATGTTGAGAGTTGGTGATAGTGAAAGTTCAAGTCAATGCCTGACATTTCTTCTATGGTCCGGGCGAATAGGTCAACATTGTGGATGAGTACCTTCTTGATGCTTTCGTATTCAGTGGTTGTCAATTGGGAGCATAAGTTTGTGACCTGTTCTTCACCTTTCCCGAGCTAGAAAGGAATAGTCGTCTCAATTGGTTCGACCCTATTATCGTCTTTCGACTGGGGGTCAAGGTCTAAATCCTGACTTCCCCTGCCTCTTCTTGGGGTGCCGATAACATTCACGTTAACTAGATATTGAGGCAATGGTTGTACTTTCAGGCTAGCGAAGTAGCATTAACGAGCTATTTTTTGGTCTACATGTAGTGTGATGATGATTCTTGTTTCTGATGGAAACTTCATGGCCAAGTGTGGAGTTGACACAATGGCCTGTTAATTCACAAAATCATTTTATACATTGATTCAAATTAATGAAACGAAGTGTCAAATAATTTTTAAATTTTCTAAAAAATTTGCAGATTTGATCTATGTATTAAAAACTTTAAATTGAACGATTTGATCGTTGAAATTTGATATAGAACATGAGTTATTGAACGGAGTAAGTCTAGGTAGACTTACTTCCGGAGTAAAAGGATCTCTCCTCACATATATATATATATATATATATATAAATGGGGAGCGTAAAAATTATAAAACTAAGTGTCTAATGGTCCTTTCCTTTCTCATATCTTCTCCTTCCTTATTAAAAGGTGAGAAAGACCCGAGGGAATGGCGAGGG